GCTGCCCCGCGGCCCCGCGCTCCGTTCATCCGCGCCCCGCGCGCGTCCCCGGCGGCCCCACTCAGCAGGTCCCTGCGGCGCTGAGGACGCCCGCCCGGGCCCCGGCTCCTGCCATCTTCGTCGCCCGCCACTAACTTCCGAGCGCACAGGAGAGCTGGAAGGAAGGGCGGGACGAGGCCTCGGAGCGCGCCCGCCTCCGCCCGCTGTCCCCAAGCGCGGCCCGGCACTGCCGCTGCTCCTCTCCGCGCGCCGCGCCCCGGAGCCTATAGAAATCTTTTGTGTGGCGTCACCGCCTTTCGTTTAAATCCCGCTTCCTCTTCTCGCCCTTCCTCCGCCCCCTCACCGCTCCCGGATGCTTGCGCGAGGCGCTGCTCCTCCCCCGGGAAGCGGGTGGCCTGAAGGACGCCGCCGCCCCGCCCGACGCACCGCAACCCGGTCCGGGCCTCCAGCGGTGCCCGGCGAAGGAGCTGGGCTCTGCGCCCTCGGGGACCCTGGCGCAGCCGCCAGTCGGCCTTACGTAAGCTCTGTTCGGCCCTGGAACTGGGCTGCGGTGACCCGCGACCCGGGTGGAGGGCGGTGGCCGCTCCACACCGTACCCTGGCGACCCGCTGGGACTTGGTTGGCCTTCCGAGCTTCCCGCCCTTTATGGTGCCAGGTCTCTGCTTGCCTGGGTCTTGATGGGCTGTGTAGGGTGAAGAATGAGGGAAACAGCGCTGGATCTGGGTTCAGGGCGGGGTGGGGGAGGTGGTGGGGAGTTTGGGGCGGATGCCCAGTGTCCTCCGTTAAACTGTAGAGTCAGGTAGCGGCGCGGGCTTTGAACCACACTTCCTGAGGCTAGTCTTTATGAATCGTGTGACCTTGTACTAGTTCTCTCCAAGTGTCCGTGACCGCGGAGTCGCAGAGTGCCCCTCTGGGCCCGGAGCAGCCGCCTTGACCAGCAGGTTGCCTCCTCCTAACTTCATCTGTGTAGCAGCCATTGTTAGAAAAGAGAAAACCCCTTTGGAAGTAAACATTATAGCCTCCCTTTTAGACGGGGATGAGTTTCAGATTCCTTGGGAGACTTTGAAAGGTCTGGAGACAAAAGAATCCCATCCAGCCCGGCGCCCTTAGACCGAGTTCTCTCAGAATGGGCTGGCTGCTAACTTCCTCTGCGCAGGCCTGGCCTGAGGACTCCTGAAACTGGTGGCGGGGTCGCACTCCTGTGACTCCAGGCTCCCATTTCTCAGCTGGGCTTCGTGCTAGGGCGACCTTCAGGAATGAGTGGACCAACATTCTACTGTCCTTAGGGATACCCAGGAATCTACCTGAAGCAACTTTCTTTGCAAAGTGAAGTGATAAGTTGGGTGACTTTCTAGACAAGTTGTAGTTCTATAGAGTTAAACACCCCCCCCCTTTTTTTTTTTTACAACAGAACAGCGGGACAAATCAGAGATCCATGGCAACCCAGGAACAGCGCCTAAGTCCTTAGCTCCAAATTCCTGTTAGGGACAAGGCAGCCCTTCCTCCCCTTCCCTAGTTCCTCCATGACACTGCTCTGGGATTCAATTTTTTTTTTTTTTTTCCCAAAGCCCCTTGGAGCCCTGTCTCCCTTTCTGCAGGTTGATTTGCAAGTGTTGCTGGCAGCGGCTGACCCTAGCAAGGAACTGTGTTGCCTACATACAGCTCCAGCTCTATCCTACAGGATTTCATTTAGGTTTCACAATTGTAGGAAGTGCTTCCCAACCCTCCTTGCTTTATTTTTAGGTAGGGAGCTCCCATGGAACTGATCCTTCCAGGTGCTACCTCCACCAGCCTCACTTCTGCCCTTCTTCATTCACTCCACAAACATCTGGAGCATCTGCCATCTGTACTCAGCCCCAGAATTACATATGAAGTAATATGAGACCTCTCCCTGTGAAATTTACCTCCAAGAAGGGCAGCAATCCATAAACAAGTAGGCAAGATTGCACACTGTACAATGAAGGCGAAGACACTGCAGCAGATATACTGGTTTGCAAATACTTCTATAGTCATTGGTCATGTGATTCATCCTGACCATGAAAAGGTCAGTGGAAGGGATGCCAGTGCCTCCAGGCTGAAGCAGTAGAAGCCAGCATGACGTTCTTTACTTTTTTTTGGCGCCGTGCTGGAACTACAAGGAGGCTGGTGTGGTTGGAGGAGCTGCCACAACTCCATCTGGAGCCACACTGGGTGTGTGCTGTGCGCACCAAGTGAATTGTTGTGTGAAGCCACTGAGATGTGAGCATTCTGTATTGTAGCATAATTTAGTATAATTTGAGAATAGAAGAGGGCTTGTTTATTATGTCTGTTCTTAGAGTCACTGGGTTATAGCTCTGTAGAGAGCTCTAGCCCTTCTTTTCTCTTTTAAAATTAAAAAAGATACCATGCAAAGCATTTGCTATGGTATTAGCCTCCCCATTAATATACTGAAGATGAATCGCCAAGTGTCACTAGTGCCTCTGGAGGTGCTGAAAACTTAAGAGTGGGGCCCGCATAAATGCGTTCATTTATGATCCCTGGCCCTAGACTCATCTTCAGTGCTGGATGGAGGCCCACACTTGGTAGATTTCAGTAAGATGCAAAAGAATAAGATTTGAAGAGAACTGGGTAAGGGTTTGGCCAGAGGTTGGGAGTGGCTCACCCTCTTAACCTGTCCTAGAAGGGGCATCTACCAGTTAGGTTCAGACAGGTATATGAACACAATCCTCCACTCCTTCTATCCCCCAGCACCCACCTTTCTGCTTTCTGACTCCATGAATCTGTCCTCAATACCTCATTTAAGTGCAGTCATATCTGCCCTTTGTGACTAGCTCATTTCTTTCACCTTGCATAATGTCTTCAAGGTTCATCTCTACTGTAGTATGTGTCAGGATTTCCTTCCTGTATAATATTCTATTATATATGCTCTGTGTCTTAATACCCATCTTTTGCACTGAACCCAGATTTTATGGACCAACTACCAGGCTGTACTAGGCATACACCGCCACCTGGTGGTCATTCTTTTCCTTACCGCACCTCTCTACCCTTGTGGCTCTTTTGTTTTTGTTCTCCCCGGGCTATTTCAGTCTGGAGGATCTCCTGTACCTATCCAAACATCACCCTTTGTTACCTTCCTTTCCATATCTCTTCGGTATCTGGGGAATGTATTCCTACCCCTATTCCTGTTTTAGTCTGCCCCATAAGTATAGCTAGGACTCCCTGGTTTGCTCTGGTCACTCCCCTTAACTGGTGACCTGCTTTCTGATATATTTTGGTCCCATCCAAGAGCATGCATGGGGCAGGACCTCACCCACCAGCAGCCCTGTCTCCTCCCCGTTTCCATAGTCAGCTGCTGCCTCCTTATCCAGCTGGAGGTAGGATAAACAGAGGAGGTTTATGTGTGGAACTAGTCATCTCTTACCAGGAACACCTGAGAATTCAGGTCCTAAGACTTGGGGAAGCAGAAGTTTTCCTCTTGTTTACCAGCACACCTTTACATGGAGGTGAAGGTTGCATGCACAGATTAATAAGTTCTTCGTCAACCATTCTCTGGTGGCCAGTGATCTCTGGATATAGTTTCCATTTTTCAGAGTGTTGGAGAAGAGAAATGAGTAAGATGATTCAGGTCCTCTACACTCTGAACACAATTATCCTGACCATGTTTTGATCTTGAGAAGTGTATTCCATGGGCAATAACCAGAGTGGAAAGATTTATTGCCACTTGGAATGTCTGGACCCCTGACATTTCCTTTCCATCCCCTTGTGTCAGTTGATGCTGTGCACAGATCTTCAGTGTCACCACTGGCATCCTGCATTTGTAAGCAATGATGTAACTGTCCCTACAACCCTGTTATTTCTTGGGGAGAAGGACTTAAGCCAGATGTGATGGTGCAGGCCTCTAAGCCCAGCACTTGGGAGACTGAGGCAGGAGGATCCTGAGTTTGAGGCCAGCCTGGACTACATAGTGAGACCTTGTCTCAAAAAAACAAGAAAGGAGAGGAATTTGACCCACTGGTAACCCTTTCACATCTAAGGCATTGGGCATTGCAGTGTTTATAAAATACATTCATTAAACCTCTGCTACTACAAAAAAGTGTCTTTTTATTGAACTAGAATCTAGATGTTCACAACTTTTACTCAGCCATAATCAGAAAGGAATGGACCATAGGATATAGCAGTGCAGGCCCAGTCTGCATGTGGGTTGTCATGGTCTTAACTGAATCACCTCCATCCGCAACCCTCTCCTGAACCCTCCCCCTAGATCTTTCCACCATTCACCTGTCAAAGGCATGAGAGCCTTACAGTCTTAGGGATTTGTAATTGTGCCTTCCTAGATTTTCTGCATGTTGAATGTCACTCTTGCCTGATTTCATAGAGTGCTAGAAACTCTTCCTTCAACCTCTTGTGGAGGACACAAACCAGGATGGCCCAGATTAGGATACTAACTAGATCTGAGAAGTAGTTTTCCCCTCTGTGGTCTCTGCACTGCTTAGAGGTGATGTCAATATTAATCCTATACAGAGTACTTCACTCATTAGCCCAGACACACCACAGTGAGGGAAACACACTAAAGAAAACCTCATAGTCCCTTATACCTGGGCACGGATATTTGTCCTGCAGCTGTACTGTACTGATTATGTGGCCTCAGGTGAATTATACAATTCCCAAACAGGACTTTCTCCTAAAATGAGGGTATCACATCATGATCATGCCGTTTCAAGAGGGTATGATGGTGCACACCTATAATCCCAACACAGGAGACTGAGGTAGGAGCACTGCCATGAGTTCAAGGCCAGCCTGAAGTACAGTGAGACCCTGTCTCAAAAAAAAAAAAAATCATCTCTCCAGGGCCTGTGAACTGCACTGTATTTGCTCCATGTAGTTTACTTCCTCTGCTACTCAAATCTCCAAGAGCAAGGACCACAGTTGTTCTATTCATTTTCGTATCAGTGCTTCTCTTGGTTCCTGGTTTAGGGTAGGATGTTAAAAATACATTCCTCCAGAATTGAACTGAATCATGATCCAAAACACTGAAATGTAGTTAACATATCAAAGTGTTGAGAAGACCCTGGTTCCAGATGTTTTCACATCAGTGGATTCTAAACCAAGAGGTTTTTTTTTTTTTTTTTTTTTTTCCTTAGATGAAAATCAGTAAGCTTGGAACGTTTTGTCCAATCCCCACAGCTTCTGTAAAACACAAAGTGACTTTATTCTCTAACTAGAGCATGTGGGCCAAGAGTTGCCGTACTTTTGCACCTTAACTTGGCCGCTGGTGGAATGAGTTACCAGGGCGACCCCTCCCAACAGCACATGATCTGCACAGCTGCACATGTTTTTTAGCATGACTGCACCAGGACAGCGCTCCAAGCCACTGGGTGGAGCAGTGTGCCCTTGGGACAAAGCTCATGACATTTCCCCTATGATTTCAGAAAGAAAAGGAAAGAAAAAATTTCTTTTCCCTATGAGCTGTTTCTGTTTGGTGTCAATAGGAAACCACATAATGTTTACATATATGCAGGCAGGAATATGTAGAATATCTGTTACCATTGCAGTAAAAGACCAATGGCATCAATCTTCATGTAATTTCCATCTGTATCCTTTTCCCTTCGTGACAAACAATACCACTAAGACTGTATTAAAGAGCTATACGACTTCTCAGCTTCTCTTGGAGAGTCAAGTTCTAGCTAGTGAGATCAGAATGCTGTTTGTAGCCTCCAAGAGGGATGCTTAAAAGAAGTTGATCCCATCGGGAAGTGTGCTCCGCTTGGCTTGGCTTCTTTTTTCTTCAAGATGAAGGTCACACAGGTGGTTGGAGCTCAAGTAGTCGTCCTGGAACTTGTGACCATCAACCTTACATGCTGATTCCACCTGCTGCTTCAAGAGAAATATTGGCCACAAAAAGATGCTATCTTGTTTGAACTTTTAAAAAAAGCAGTGTTGTTCTGTGAAGCCTATTAGTCACAGCCACACAAAGCATGAAGAAAGGTTTATTGCTGCTGTTTAGTTGTAACAATAGAAACTGATGAACTGCTCATGATGGTGCAACAACACTGAATAAGACTATGTAGCTACACAAAGAATCAAACTTAGTCCTACTGGGAAACTCAGTACAATGCATAGAGCAGCAGCCACAAACACAAATGTGACCAGCTGGTAGCTGTGGTCAGTGCACAGCAGAGTTGTGGGAACTGTAGCTTGTAATGTTTGAGTATTTGACAGCACCGAGTGTTTATGTCTTGTCATGTAGTTAAAAATGTAAAATAAATCAGCATGGCCACTATGTAAAACTCCCGGGATTTCAAAGCATCTCTTACAGCACATTTTAGAGATTAAAAAGTAGCACGATTCAGCCTTAAAAACGACTTATTAGAACCCAAGTATTAGGCTGTAATCAGAAAAGACAGGCTGAAGTTGTTTCAAACAAATGAAAATTGGTAATTAAAATCGAGAGCCTGTCTGAGTTCGGGGTGGCGGCTATACTGACAACTCGGTACCCCGCGCCATCTGTCACGTGCAGGACGGAGAAGGGCCCGTTTGTGATGCTCTGCACGAGCTGCTGTCCCGCCGCTGACTTCTAAGTGGCTATTCTCAGCAGCTGCAGCAGGAGGCCTTGGTGAGGGCAGAACCCCAAAGGGCTTTATCAGCGCTGAGGCGGCTTCCAGAATCACGTCCTGCGCCAACTCCACCAGCAAAAACACTAAGGCCTCTCCCGGCAGCTCCTGAGGCCCTGCGGGTACTTGCGGACCCAACTGGTGAGAGAGAAAAAGTCAGCCCGAGGATGGAAAGCGCAGCGCATACTCCACAGCCATCCTACGGGGTGAAACGCCGACCCAGTGGAACGCCCTGCCCCGCCCAGGAGAAAGCCCGCGGGGCGGGGCTCTGGCTGGGCGGGGTTTCCGGGGGGTGGAGGGACGGGGACGGGGCTGGGGCCGATTGGCGAATGACTGCTGGTGGGCGGGGAAGGGGCGGGGATTCTGGAAGGGGGCTGCAGAAACGAGAACGGGGCGGGGACCGATAGGGGACTGGGGGCGGGGCCAGCAGGGCACGGGCCGCAGGGGCGGAGCCCACACTAGGTACTTGGGGCGGGGCCGGAAACCGGGGTGGGCACGAGAGACAGGGACCGGAAGCTGGGGGCGGCCTGGGAGCCAGAGGCATACCCGAAAACCGGGTGGGCGGGGTCGTGAAGCCCGGCCAGGCTCCAGAGGACTCCGACGGGGCCGGAAGAAGGGGGCGGGCAAGCGAGCCCGGGGGCGGGGCCGGAAGCTGCTGCTGGCCCGGCATCCTGCGCTGCGCGGCGCTGCACAGCGAAGATGGCGGCCTCCAGGTGGGTGCGTGCGGCTTTGCTCCTGCTCTGTGCCTCTGACCTACTGCTGCTGCCTCCAGCTGTGGTTTGTGCGGCCGAAGGCCCGGCCGGGAAGCCCGGCGAGACCACCCCGCCTCCGCAGAAGAAGAAGAAGGACATTCGCGACTACAACGATGCGGACATGGCGCGTCTCCTGGAACAGTGGGAGGTCCGCTGCTCGCGCTCGCTCTCCGGGTTCTTTCACCCCCCTTACCCTCTCTGTGTCGGGGCTCTCTGATTCCTGACCTCCCTTGCTGTTCATCCTTACCGCTGCTGCATGCGAGCACCGTCAGCCCTCGCAGCAGCCCCGGCTGCCCAAACCCTGCAGTCGCCTCCCGGGGCTCATTCTCCTGCCCTATTTTCTCTCGTTCCCCAGTCTCACAGATAGCCACGCAGTTCAGCGTGCTGTTGGCCTCTGCCTGTGATGGTGACCCTTGAGCCCAGAACGGGGGGAGGAGCCCTTTCCTACTCCATTCCTGAAGAGCCTTTTCTTTCTCCAGTCCTGTGTGTTCCGGAGAGAATGGGTGGGTGAGTGGGTTGTGGTGGTGGTTTTCTTTAAAGAGAATTGCCTCGGCTTTGTTAGTTACCCTGTTCTCGAAATCAGGTGACTTTTTTCGAAACTTTTGTTTAGAGAGCCAATGATTTGTTCTGGTGAGAGTAAAGTTTGCTGGTTTGGTACTTGAATGCACTGAAGTGCAATTACAGGGAGTGTGAATAAACTTCAAAAGTTCGCTAACCGAAACTATCGCTGCCTCTTCCCCTTCGTGTTAGTATTGTCTTAGTAGAAATGTACAGGTGGCTGAGCAGAGCCAGAAACTTCGGTTCCACTTACCATTACCTTGGCCGATCATGTCTCCCATATGTTGATTTCCCTATCTGGAAAACGAGGTTTTACTGACTGTCTTCTCAGATTCCTTCTAAAGCTTTTTTGTTTTTGTATTTAGTACAGGATCTACAGGGGCTCACTACAAAGGTTGGACTCGTAGTGAACCTCCTGTTCTGCAACCTTCCAAGTGCTGGGATTACAGGCGCGTGCCACCACGCCCTGTCTCATTAGATGTCTCAGCACACCCCAGGGGCGGGGCCAGCACCGCAGGCCAGGAATTGGAACCCCTGGCCTTTGCATCTACCTAAGCAGGAGCTAAAGCTGATGTTTTGTCACTGTGTATTTATCTCCTGTTATCTCTGGGAGTGTTATAGGAAGAGGGCAAAGACCAAGCATGAGTTGAATACCACCTAAGGCATCTTTGCTGGAAGAACCCACACGCACTTTTTCATGCGTAGGGCTGGAATGATTGGAGTAGCTTTGAGTGTAGGTGTACCACTGTTAAAGAGGGCCCTGTCCCATTCTTCTCTCCTTTTCAGTCTCCCTGTCTTTTTCTCAACACTAGCAAAAAAAAAAAAAAAGGAACCTTTTATCTGCCAAAGTGAGAACTCCTGCCCTGGAGCTACTCAGATTGAGGTAAATAAAGAGGGTGCTGTAGAGACCAACAAAGGAACCGTCAGAGTAGTGGGTAACAAAAATAACCATAGTATTCAATACAAAATAGCTAAACGCTATGAAAATAAAGTTCTGAGGAAAACTGAGGAGGGCAAGGAGGAAGTGGCTCTTGGGGTACAGGGGGCAGGATGTCATTCTATAGTCCATGCTGGTGTTGAACTCCCAACATAGACAAGGTTGACCTCAAAATCATACTGATCTTCTTGCTTCCTCTCCCCCCCCCCTTTTTGGAATTACAGGTATGTGCCACCACCATGCCCAGCCTACAAGTGACATTTTAGATAGACCAGGGAAAATGAGGGGGCAGTAAGATTGGTTAGAGAAAATGTGCAAGAAGGGGATATCTAACAGCAGCATGAGAAGACGAAATGTTGGAGCCGAGGAAATAGTGCAGAGATTAACAACGTAGGCACAGGGGTTGGACTGCCTGCATTCATGCTTCTTAAATATGTGAATCTGCACTGGTGAAGAACCTCTCTGAACTTTAGTTTGCTTGTGTGCAAATGGAAGGTGTTACTAATGCCCACCCTAAAGTAGCTGTAAGAATTAACCAAGAGAAGGACAAGAGCTTAGAGGCGTGATCTCATTGATCAGTATATAGTTACCTGTATGTTAGAGTACTAGGCTGTTTATTTTTAATCATCTGCAACCTTATCTTAAAACACCTGCAGATTTTTGAGTACCTGTCTATATGCAGGCATAATTCTTTTTTTTTTTTTTTTCTTGTTTTGGTACCTGGAATTGAACTCAGAACTTGCACTTAGGCAGCTGCTTGTGCCGCTGAGCTGTATCCCCAGCACTGCAAGCATAAACTTTATAGCTGAAATAACAGGTGGGGTTTTTTTGCTACAGTTTTTCGCTTTATAGCTGTTTCCCCAAAATTACTGCAGTGTCTTCCTAGTTGTATTGTTAAACAGCTTCAGAGTATCCCCTAGAAAGGATGCCCCAGCTATTGAAAGTTTTTGAGTAACAGAGTGTTCTGGGAATTTAAGGTGTTGCAGCTACTTTTTAACTCAGGATGATTTCCATAAGACTGCTGTTGGAGGCCAGGTTATTGGACCTAATAAGTGGGCTTATCCGGTGCTGCCTTTGTCATTAAATCCCTGAAACCTCAGGGAAGTCACAATGTTGACACTCTTCTTGTAGGTGTGGCCAAAGGCCACACAGTTTAAGAGCTGTAGGAAGGAGCTAAGTCCTCACTCCTCTGACTGCAAGGCCCATGTCTGTCTGCTTGATGGTGTAGAATTGAGGACAAAGTTGGCAGGATGTGTGTGACTACTTGAGATCAGGTCTGCTGGTTTTGCTTATCCTTTTTTAGAGGAGGCAGGTCTGAGGAGTGAGGGATGTCACCAGCTGGTTACATAGTTGGTGGGAAGGGCTGAGACAGGCTTCCAGGTCATGTGTCAGTGTGGATTTCCTTCAGACTGGGCATTAAAATTCTTTCCTTCTCATCTTTAATTAAAATCAGCAACACGCTACATTGTAGTTGATATCATCAGCCTTGGACCCCAGAGAGATGTCAAAAGAATCAAGAGCCAAAAGGGGTCTTGTTTTCTGTAGGTTGGCTTTTTGGTAACAATTTTGTGGAGAAATAATTCACACAACATATATACTTAATCTGACCATCTCAGTGATTTTTACTCCATTCAGAGTTCTACAACTGTTGCAGAGTCACTTTTGAACATTTCATCTCTTGAAAAAGAAATCCTCAGTCGCTCCAGTTTGCTTTTAACAGTTTGAGAGTGTGGTGAATACAGACTTGGATGACTGGAACCTAAGTGTTTTGAACTTTTTTTGTCTATTTGATGATTTTTGTTGTTTATTAGTTGGTGTTCCACTGTTTCATTTGTTTGCCTCAGCATCAACTTGCTCATCTTACTTTACTGGGGGAATTAGAAGTCACTACTGTTAGTAGACTTGATCATGAGCGCTGCTTCAGGTTGATGTCTTGTCATTTTGATATATTACATGATTCATTGAGCCCTTTTTTGCTGTCTGGTACAGGAAGATATTCTGGGCACATCTTCCATTTTCCTTGCTGTAATTAACATTTTCTCCCCACTTTGAAATTTTTTTTATCCACATACCCATCTGCCTACCTGTCTGTTAACACTGAATTTCTGTGGTGCCTTTAGTTTATCCTAAGCCACAAGGCATATCCTCGCTCCTGTCCTATTTGTGGCTTCTCTAAGACTGAGTAACCTGGCTCGCTTGTCCCTAGTATGTCTGCATCTTCAGTTGGTCCTAGAATTGATGGAAGGTGATGTGAGAATCGCTAGCACATAGCACTGCAAGAAACAAATGCACTGACTACAGTTAAATATTTGTGCACAGTGAATTGCAGATTTTAGGTATATAGTGGGAGTTTTGATGAATGGATACATTTATGTAATGCACGCTCTGATGAATTACGGAGCATGCCATCAGCCCAGCAAGTTCCTATACCCACCTCACGTCCACTCCCAGCGGCATTCACTGTGGTCTTTTCTGTTTCCCTGCCTTATGACTGCTGGAACCTTGCAGGGATTGTGCCCAGCTTTGGTCACTTAGTATTTCTGAGATTGGTGTGTGTCTCAGTATTTGTTCTGTATTGCTAGGTAGCCTGTTGTATAAAGATACTGGAATGTGGCCATTTTTATAATCACATTGGGTAGATTCTTTGAGAATAAAAAGCTGTGGGATCCTTTTCGTGAGGCTCTCGGGTGGCCTTGGGCTGATGATGGGCGTAGATACTGCCAGAAACGTAGGCTCTGCTCCCAAGTGAAAGGAAAATCCTGGGGCGGTAGGGTAGACACCTGCCCTGTTGTCTGTTCGTGTGTGCTAATTGCAAAGTGAGGTTCTAATGAACAGTTTGATGCTTTTTCTCATCTTGCCAGAGAGATGATGACATAGAAGAGGGAGATCTTCCGGAGCACAAGAGACCCCCAGCACCTGTTGACTTCTCCAAGATAGATCCGGGCAAGCCTGAGAGCATCCTGAAGATGACAAAGAAAGGGAAGACACTCATGATGTTCGTCACTGTATCTGGGAGCCCCACAGAAAAGGAGACTGAGGAGATCACAAGCTTGTGGCAGGGCAGCCTGTTTAATGCCAACTATGACGTGCAGAGGTAAAGGCTGGATGGAGCTCTTTGTGAGGCTGCACTGCGGGGACCTTAGCGCATTCATCAATCAATCTACCAGTTGCACCCATCCTTGTAGCTTTTAGATCATATGAATGCACAACTGTGTAGCTTAGCCTGAGTGGGGTCAGATGTGAGAGGTTGGCACTTGGTTGCTGTGGACATTGCTGCTCAGCAGGGGCTACCTCTGAGTGTCATGGTGTTTACACATGGAACTTGCAACATGTCACTAACAGATGACTAATTTATTATGCAGTGGCCATTTACACAGCTTAGTTGGTCCTGAAGTTCCACTTGAAAGCATCTTCCCTTAACCAGTTGTAAGATTTGGGGTTTTGCATATACCATATCCTAATTAAGGAACTGAGACAGTGCTATGGTTGTAGAAAGGCTCTACATTCACAGAAAGCTTTTGTTAGTTTATGCAGAAGCTTAGAGTAAACCTGTTGTGATGACTGGTCACTGTGGAGGGGTGGGGGCAAGTGTGGCATCCCCTGAAAGTGGAAGGACTGTGCGTGTCACCTGTGCTGGTGGTCCGCCAGGCCTCATTCTGTTTTCCCGCTCCTGGGCCTGCTGAGTGTGAACAGGCTGGGCTGCTTGCCAGGAATTGCAGTTGGGGCTTCTGTCAAGTTGCCCAGTGTCCTCTCGGGCCTTGAGGGCATCTTACTACAAACTGTCCTGAGTCAGTGGTTTTTAGCCTTTAGCAGCAGAGCCTTTTGTCAAATAAGTAACTGGAACATAAACTAGATAGAAATGAAAGAGATACTTCAGAATATAAAACACGTACAGGTAGACACCAGCTCACCCTCACTCCAGCTGCCTCCACAGTGCTCACAGAGCATGCCCAGTGCCCACTAAGTGGAAGCGTCCTCTTACACTGCAGAGCAGCATCTGCTGTGATCCTAGTGGGAGTCTGATAGTTCAGCAAGCTGGTATTTTTACATGGTAAATGTCTATAGCTATGAGGTCCTGAAAATGCTTTTTTTTTTTTTTTTTTTTTTTTTTTTCCTATATTCATAAGGAATTTTCAGTGAACTTTTTTTCTGGTTAAGTAGTACAGAATCACCTTGACCCGTTAGCACTTTACTAGTTTGTGATAATCGTGTGGTTGCTTCTAGGTTCATCGTGGGCTCAGATCGGGCCATCTTCATGCTGCGAGACGGGAGCTATGCCTGGGAGATCAAGGACTTCTTGGTCAGTCAGGACAGGTGTGCTGATGTCACTCTGGAGGGGCAGGTGTACCCTGGCAAAGGAGGAGGAAGCAAAGAGAAAAATAAAACAAAGCAAGAGAAGGGAAAAAAGAAGGCAGGGGATTCAAGATCACAGGCCTCAAAGGAAGACAGCCGAGCTGGAAGAGAAGAACTGTGACAGCCACTCCCCTTGGAGCAGAAGGACAAGGGAGCCTGGCTGGTTTCATGGGCAGGGTGGGTGCTGCATATTTGGTGATGTTCTTAAGTCTTCTGGAAAGGGTCTGCCATGCAACCAGTCTGACCGGTACAGAAGTTACTGTTGTGAAGCCTTCAGGGATGAAGGTTTTCTGATTAATAGCAGACGCTGCCAAGTTTACACCTTCTCCAGAGTTGCCAGCCTGGACCCCCGACTTGTCGCTTCCCCAACAGACCTGATGGGTCATTGTCCTCACCTCACTGCTCTGTTCTGTTGGGCTGTGCCTGCTTCTGATTTTCTCCTAACCAAAAGACAGCAGGTTCTGATCCAACAGGCTTTTTAATACTTGGCTTCACTGGGTCACTGTTGAGCTGCAGCAGATTGCTTAGATCACAGTGAAGGTAGGGTGAGCCGTGGTACTGCTGTGTCACCAGGGAACTGGGCGCCCCAGCTGTGCAGGACACAGAGGTACGGGAGTGGTGCCACTTGACTCTGAGTCTTTACTTGAGATATCCCTGACTGAAGTCCCTGTCCTCAGCTGGAAGGAACTCTTGCTACCCTGTGGCTTTGTTGAGGACAGTGAGATCATTGTCAGATGTGCAGACTGGATGGACCAGCAGAGCCCTGAGCAGGCATGATGGAGACATGACAACTTCACGTGTTCTAGACATTTCCTTTGATAAGTGCCTACGCTTGTGCTTTTTGTGATACTAATGAGATGTGCTGCTGTTCATGTCTGAATTGTTACCCTTTGCATCATGGAGTCACTCTGAATAAGGACATTTATGTGCAGATGTCATTTTTAGGAATTTAAATTCTTTGAAGAAAAATATCAGTTGGGGTTTTAATACATTAAAAATAGCACATGTACATGTATGTGGTTAGGAAACGTCACTATTGAAGGAAGTGTCGTACAAAGCGGAAACTGTGGCCCTGCCCTGTCATCAGTCTTTTGTCCCTTGTCCCTGTGGAGCCACTGCCCCTAATTTGTTTCAAAAAACATACTCATCAGCTTGCAGTGATGTGCTCTTAACGTTGCGCGTCAACCACCCCAGACTGGTTGCTGTGCCACCGCTCCCCTCTCCTCTGGCACACTGCCTTACAGGCTGAGGCTTGTGCAGCCCAGGCCCAGGCGGTCCTCCCTGGGTGTTTTTTACTTCTGCATTTTGAGCCTGGGAAAATGGAGCTGGAGCAACAGCAGTCACCTTGCTGTTTGAGGGTGGTGCTGACACGCAGAACGGAAAGCAGGTGCAGTCCTGGCCCTGGTGTCCTACAGGGTCTGAAATAAGCGCTGTCCCCTCAGTTTTTAGAGTATTTCGCTGGGTTTTATAGCAGTAACAGTCCAGGATAGAGTCCGTGCTGATAGTTGTGTTAACGAAGCAGAAAGGAGCAGGGCTTCCCGCTGTCCCGCAGTGGTTCCTGCATCAGCGCCTCTCTGTCCCTGCTTCCTGCTTCCAGGGTCTAAGTGTCTACTGGGACAGCCAGGAATAGCTATGCTGTCCTAGAACTTTGGCTGCTTGCCCACGACAGGAGTAGTGGGGCAGAGTCACGTGTGAGAGGTCAGAGAGGACCCACAGAGGTGTAGGAACTGGGGGAATGGAGAAGTGAGCCAAGGGGAGCAGCCTGCAAAGGCTCTGGGCCTGGAGCCACTGAGAAGGCAGCTGAGGCAGAGCCAAGCTCAGGAGGCGGGCGCACACGGGGGAGCGGCTAGGAATGGGGGCCTAACCATGAGAGGCAGTCAGGAGTGTCTCAGTAATTCAGGCCAGGGAAGCAGGGGAGTGAGGTCTGAGCTATCCATGGAGGGACGCTGGGGTTTACACTTTGGGGCTAATACACTGCTGCAGTGAATGGTTTTTACACAGCATTCCAGTGAGTTTTTATATCTGACAGCTACTGTTAAGGAAAACTTAGTTTGGTATGTATCTCCATGCTGCTTTCCCAGGTGCTCTTGTGAGCCAGCCCTGAGACCGAGCTTGCCAGGTCAGTGGGCCAGAAAACCGCACCTTTGCCCCAGGGACTGGCAGAGCCCACAGGGCAAGTGAGGTGCCAGAAGTCATGTGTGCCAGCGTAGCATAGCTGTGGAGGTTCAGTGCTTCCTGCTCTAGCTGCCTACTGATACCCAGGGGAGTAGATGCCCTGTCCCCTGAGCCCGGGCTTCTCTGCAGATGAGAGAGCAAGAGTCGGGTTTCTGATGAGTCGGTCGTCACACTCTTGTCTAGGAATGGGGGCCTAGTAAGTTTGGGGGATGTCGTCAGTTACGAAACATGGCACCTTGACTAGATACGCGCATCTCTCCATGGTCCTTTCTCCCCAGATTCTCTGCTGTTTTTTCTTTTTGTGTTTACAGGGAAAAATTTGAGAGCTCTGAGCTATCACCCAAGCCCAGGATCTCAGAAAGTTGCCCAGGCTGTCCTTAAACAGGGTCCTCCTGTCTCAGCCTCATAAACCGGGATTACAGGTTTGGGCCACCACCCTTGGCTAACCCTGTGGCTTTTGATGGTTGTGGGGGTTTTTTGATGGCTGGCCCATCCTGCCTTGGGCGCAGGGCTGGTGTGTCATGTGCAGGGATCAAACAGTGGACCCTGTGCTTGCCTAAGCAGACACTTGAAACCACTGAGCTATCTTGCCAGCTCTGATTGTGCTTTTTTTTTTAAATCTGGTTTCCATTTTAGGGGGCTCTTTTTGCGACAGGGTTTCACTTTACAGTTCAGGCTGGCCTTGAACTCACTTTGTAGCCCAGGCTGGCCTCAAACTAGGAGCAACCCTCCTGCCTCAGTCTCCAGAGTGCTGGGGTTACAGGCATGTGCCACCATGCCTGACCTGGTTTCCTTAAACATTCAGCTGCTCTCTTTTGTAATTAAATCTGTGTAATATGAGTTCAGGACCGGTTAAGGTGACAGTTTGCAAACCTCTGTCACCCAGTTGTTAGTAGTGTTGATTCCACACTGGTGGCCACAAAGCATCTTGTCCCTGTCTATAATTGTGTCAGCCAATGACAGCGTAGAAGAGGTTTCACACTGGTGTTTGCTTTTGCCCCAGCAGTGCAGATCCCACTCAATTTGAGAGACGAGGCTGCACTTCTGAGGAGAGACTGTTTTCTGTCACATTCCAGGAAATCTCTCCTAACACTCAGTGATTTTGCTGGGAATAGAATTTTTTTTAATTCCTAGAATATGCTGTGCCCCTTCTAATTGCAGATTTAGCTTTTTCTGTTTTCATTTTTTTCTGAGTTTCTTATTGATGCCAGTTAGATATAATGATAACATTCATCATAGGGAACTTGAACCTGCACACGGTATATCTTGAGTCCTCCTCCCCCAATTTCCCCTCCCCTCAGCACCTCTTACTCTCATTTATAGAAGTTTTGTCTCCTTTTTTTTTTTTTTGTCCTTTCCTCCACTGTCTGTTGTTCACCTCATTTGAATATTTTCTTCCCATTTCCCAATATCTATTACACATTTTGGTCTTTATTTACACTTTTGGTTTCTCACACCAGAGAAACTATGATAGCTAAACATCTGTGTTCCATTTTTTTTTTTAACTGAAGAGTATGGTCTCAATATAGCTAGAAACAACTTAAGCTTAGCCTTTAGAAAGGCAGAATAGCACTTCATTGTGTTAAACCACATCTTTGTCCATTCTTTCACTGATGGGCATTTGGGAACTATGTTTCCAAAATTTAGCTTACAGGATGTGCCACTACAACCATGGGTGTGCATATTTATTTGTGTGTGTGTGTGTTTTGTGGTATCAGGGATCAGAACTCAGGACTTTGTGCTTGCCAGGTGGTACTCAGGCCACCAAGCTATCTCTCCAGTCTGGTGTGCTTTTTTAATTCTTACACAAAGATACCAAGAAGAGGAATGCTTGGGTAAAATGGAACCACTAGTCTTAGTTTTTTTAGGAATTTCCACGCTGATAGCCACAATGGTTACATGAGTCTACACTCCCAATAGTAGAGAAGGGATCCTTTATCCCCACATCTCTGCCAGCATTTGTTACTAGGTGACTTCTTGATAGCAGTCATTGTTTCTGGGAAGAGATGGAATCTCAGCGTTGTTTTGTATCTCCCAAGTGACTAGTGATGTTGAATGATTTTTCTGTATTTGCCATTTCAACTTCATACAAGAAGTGTCTGTTCAATTCAGGTGCCCATTTTTGGATTGGATCTTTAAATTTGGGGGATCAGATTTTTTTTTTTTTCTTCATGTCTTCTAAGTATTATTCCTTTGAGGAACAGCTAGCAGCAACTTTTCCACACTGGTTGTCTCCTCACTTAGTTGGTGGTTTCTTTTGCTTTGCAAAAGCTTTTTAATAAGATGAGATCCCAGTTGGTGATTCTTTCTGATGTTTCCTTTGCAATCAGGGTTTTGTTTATAAAGTCTTTGCCTACACTTTGGTCTTCAAGAGCTTATCTATTGAGTCTTCCAGCAGATTTAGTGTTTTTGTTTTAATATTTAGATCTTTGATCCATCTTTATTTTAGTTTAGTGCATGGTAAACAATAAGGGTCTAGTTTTAGTCTTTGATGTGGAAAGCCACTGTTTCTAGAACCATTTATTCAGGAGACCTTCCAGTGAAAGTATTTGCCCTCCTCTTTTGTCAAAGAAAAGGTGGCTGGGTGTGTTAGGAGTTCTTTATGCATCTTTAAATCTGGCCTGTTGATTGTTACATCTGTTTTGTTTCATTTTTGCCAGTACCGTGCTGTTTTATCACAGTAGCTTTGTAGTATAATTTCAAGTCAGGGATTGTGATGCCTCCTGCCTTGCCTTTGTTGCTGAGGATTAGTGTTGCTATGGTAGGTCTCCTCTGGTTCCAAATGAATTTTAGGATTGTTTTCTCTAATTCTGTGTGATACTATATCAGTATTTTGATTGGGAGTCTGTTAAATCTGTTTAACAATTTTGGAATTGTGGCCATTATTTCAATCCTTATTTAACAAAGGATATATTTCCATTTTCTGATACATTGATGTCCTTTTTTACAGTACTGTCATTTTCGATGTCTTTTACTTCATTAGATTGATTCTTACTCAATTTTTTTGGATGCTACAGTGAAAAATTGGTTCCCTAATTTTTCTCTCAGTTTATTACTTTTGTGCAAGAATGTTGTCGATTTCTGAGTATTGACTTTATACTCTACTGAATTTAGTTACTAAGTCTAGAACTCTTTGGCAGATATTTTGGAGTCTTCTGTGTAGAGTACCATGTCATCTACAAATAATGATAATTTCACTTCTTCCTTTCCTATACTTATTTTCTTTCTGTAATTGATCAGGGAGATATTTCCACAGCTCTACTGAGTAAGAGTGGTGATAGTGGGCATCCTCTTTTCTTGATTTTAGAGTGAAAACTTCAAAGTTCTATCCATTTAGTATGTTGGCTGTTCGTTGTCATAAGTGCCTCTTATCAGAATGAGATAAAGCCCAAGCATTACAATTTTCTGTAGTGTTTTTAAAATCATGAGTGGGGGGCTGGTGAGATGGCTCAGTGGTCTAAAGCACCTACTTAGAACAAGCTTAGCAAAGCACAGGACCGCGGTTCAACCCCCAGCACCACGGTTCAACCCCCAGCACCACATGCCAGCCAGCCCCGCCCCCTGGTGGGCTGAGCTGCCCCCCCCCACATAAATAAATAAAAATTTAAAAAAAAAATCATGAATGGGTGTTGGACTTTTGTCAGAATACTTACTGTGTATCTATTGATACAATCCAGATTTTTCCTTGAATATTAATATGGTGTATTACATTTACTGATTTGTATATGTTAGCCTGACCCCC